ACCGTGGCGGAGGCGGTGGCGGAGGCCTCCGTGGCGGAGGTGGAAGCAGAGGTGGAGGCTGAGGTGGAGGCCGAGGCCTCGGCGGCCGCGGTGGAGGCCAGCCTGGGGGAGGCGGTGGCCCTGGCGGGGAAGAAGGCGGCGGCGGTGGCAGCCACCGAGGCCAGCCTGGCGGAGGCCAGCCTCCGGGAGGCCCGGGGCGCCGCTGCGGAGGCTGCTGCGTCGCCTTCCTACGGGAGGGTGGACATGGATGAGGAGCTGGCGGCGGCCTTGGCTGCAGAAGAGGAAGAGGCGGCGGCAGGGGCCTCCGACAGACGCCCAGACTTTCCCACGGCCTCGCTCTACGTGGGCGACCTGCACCCCGACGTGACCGAGTCCATGCTGTACGAGAAGTTCAGCCCCGCCGGGCCCATCGTGTCCATCCGCATTTGCAGGGACAAGATCACCCGGCGCTCCCTGGGCTACGCATATGTCAACTACCAGGAAGAGCTGGATGCCAAGCGGGCCCTGGAGACCCTGAACTTTGACGTTATCAATGGCAGGCCGGTGCGCATCATGTGGTCCCAGAGGGACCCGTCGCTCCGCAAGAGCGGGGTGGGCAACGTCTTCATCAAGAACTTGGGCAAGACCATCGACAACAAGGCGCTGTACAACATCTTCTCGGCCTTTGGCAACATCCTGTCCTGCAAGGTGGCCTGTGACGAGAAGGGGCCCAAGGGCTACGGGTTCGTGCACTTCCAGAAGCAGGAGTCGGCCGAGCGGGCCATAGATGCGCTGAATGGAATGTTCCTGAACTACCGCAAGATTTTCGTGGGGAGGTTCAAGTCCCACAAGGAGAGAGAGGCCGAAAGGGAAGAAGCCTGGGCCCGCCAGTCCACCAGTGCTGACTTCAGGGCTTTCGATGATGACTCCGATGACGAGGCCACCTTTCGATGAAGACATCCCAGGCCCCAGCCAGTAGAGCCAAATCTTGGCTCCCACCCCGTTTACAGCCCCCCACCCCACCCCAACCCACCAGCAGTGTATTGTATTGGGAGTGCAGGTTTCTCTCTCCCTCTTCCTCCTTCTTCACCCCTTCCCCCTCCCTTCTTCCCTCCCCCTCCCCTTCCCTCTTTCCTTCTCCCCCTCTCCTGCCCTCTCTCCCTCCCCTCTCCTCCTCTTCCCCCCTCCCCTGCCAGCGCCAGCTAGCTGCCCCATCCCCTCTCTGCTCTCCGCCCCTCCCCCTCCAGCTGCTTCTGTCCTCTCCCTCTCTTTCTCCCCACCTCCAGAAAGCTCCCCTGCCCCAATAATCCCACTAATCTGTGCCATTTGAGAGGTTAAAGGCTGCCTCTTCTCCCTGTGGTCAGTCTGATTCTTAAAAGCGTTCTCTGTCTCTTTGTTTACTGCACAGGTGATGCAATTCCGTGGTAGAAATATCTGGAAGGAGAAGGAAGTCTGTCTGATGTGGGAGAAAGAACCAAGAGTGCAATTGCTTCCCATCATCCTAATACTCAGAGAGAACCTCTTTTACCTTCTTTGGTGTGCTGTTTTTCCAGGCTCTCTGCTACCCCTTTCTCCCCCTCTCATCCCAGACCCACCTTCCCTTTTAACATATTCTTGTAGAGTGGTTCATGTACGTGGTGTTTCTTAACCTGCTTTTTTCAGCGACTAAAACCAAACACAAGTCAACGCGTTGAACTTCTTTCCATGCTATTCAACAGGCTTATGGAACGTCATCTTCAGTGCCTGCAGAGTGCTCCTGTGTATCCATGGACCTTAACATTTCTGTAATCATTCCCGCATTGTTGGACATTCAGGTGGTGCCTAGTTCTTTCCCTGTGTTTAAAAAACCAACACTGCGTGCCCTGATGAGCGAATCCTTCCTTGTTGAGCCAAATCTAGGCTAGCATCCTGGATGGTCTCTCCTTAACTGTGGACTTGCAGCAACCACATATAGACGTTTCAAAGACTTCCCCTGTGTGTTGCCAAAAGGCTTCCCTTTCATAAGCATTGTACCAGTTTGTATTTGTGCCAGCCAGCCAGTGCAGCTAGTAAAAAGAAAAAAAAAAAAGAACCGAGTATGCCCATCTCCCTTGCACAGTCTCATGGTCCACTGTAACTCGTGTATGTGTGTGTGTGTGTGTGTGTGTGTGTGTGTGTGTGTGTGTGCAGCGTCATGAGCTGCAAATGGTATTTCACTGTCATTATTTCACTGGAATTGAAAGCTGTTAATCACCCCTTTTCTGCATCCCTGCTTCCTTTCCTTTTCCCTCTTGCCAGAAGAATACATCAGCTATGTTGCAGGAAAAAAAAATCTCTAAGTAGATGATTTAACCTAAGAAATTGAATGCTATCAGCAATCAGTCCTAATGACTCCCTTGCCTTCTTGACTTGTACTCATTTGTATGTGCTCAGTGTTTTTCAAGAACTATCTGAGACATTTTTCCTTGTTGCTCCAGTATTGTTCTTATGCATTGTCATATATGTATATTATAATGTACATATTGTTTTTATATCTGCTTTTCATGTGTGTATGTGTGTATATGCACACAGATTGCTGAGCTTCATTTCCTGTCATTAAAGATACTTTTAAAATACTTTTTTTTGGCTGTTGGTACTTAATTTGTGTCTTGGATAATGTGTTTAATATGAATGTAGAAGCTGATAGATTCATAAATGTTCATACATATTCATGTTTATATCCATCTGTTTTGTGTTTATGTATATTTTAACTCTGTACATTCTTGTGCATCAACTTTGGTTACCGTCTACATTATTTCCTCACCAAATGCCTAGAAGAAGTTTCAAGTATTAAAGGTATATGTTACTTCTCTGTGCAAGAAAAGTACATTGTTTAATGGCTCTACTTAATGATAGTAAGTTTTCTTCCTTAGGCTGGTCAAGGCCTGAGTGTCTCAGATCTACAATTAGAATCATCTCTGCATTTCTGTATTTGGCTTTTCTTTTAAAAGGTTGAAACTCCTTGTGGTTTTCTGTTTTTAGCATTTGTTTCATATTAATTATACATAATTATAATTAGAAATAAATATTGAAATCTTTTCAATATAAAAATGGGCAATAAATACCCCATATTTCTGAATACCACTAACTTGAAACATAACATTTAATAGATCTCTGACAATTTATTTATAGTTTAATATGCATTATTTCAATGAAGGACATTTTCACCATAACAGTTCTTTAAGAACCATCCTGGCCGGGCAGTGGTGGTGCACGCCTTTAATCCCAGTACTCAGGAGGCAGAGGCGGGCAGATCTCTGTGAGTTTGTGGCCAGCCTGGACTCCTGGACTACAGAGTGAGTTCCAGGAAAGGCACAAAGCTACACAGAGAAATCCTGTCTCCAAAAAAAAATCCTGTTGTAAAGCACTCAATATACTCATGCAATTAAGTTAAAAGTTTCATCACGGTGATAAGCAGTCATATATCTACAACCAACTCATCTGAGGGCATGTTTAAAATATTTTTCTGTACAAGATCAAGTCCATGAACACCTCTTTTTTCTCCCTTTCAATTTCAGACTAAGTGATAGAGACTTGTCAGGTCTTTTGCACTCCCTAAGTTGTATTTCTTAGAACCTTATACCTCTAGTCGTGCTGGAGAGTCTACATATCCCTTCTCATCTCAGTTTCTTCAATTGTTCGATGTGCTTTTCTAAAGTAAACGCCTCATAAATACGCTTTTCTTCATAACATTTCATTTACACATGAAGCTCTAGCGCAGTGTTCTCAACGTGTGGGTCATGATCCCCTTGGCACACCTCTGTCTCCCCAAAATAGTTACATTACAATTTGTACCAGTACCAAAATTACATTTAATGAAGTAGCAACAAAATAATTTTCTGGTTGGGGTCACCACACCATGAGGAACTGTTTTAAAGGGTCACGGCATCAGGACGGTTGAGAAGCATTGCTCTAACACAGTAAAGGTGGAAGGAAAACGTCATTTTAGTTTCTCTACAGACTTTTTCTATATCTCTATAAGAATTTCCAAACAAACGTAACCGTAACTGTATAGAAGTCAGAGTTTTTAGGAGTTTCCTTATTTGGGCTATTAAAATAGATCTCCATGTTTATTGTTCTGTTAGTTTGTGTTGTATTTCCCTTCCTCCCTTATCACAGGGAAAATCATCTAACAGTTGTTTTCCTCTCGCTGGCTGTGGAGTAACACTTAAAAATCAAGATAATTATCAGGAATGTTGATTAGAAAGAAGAAAAAAGACTATGTTTAATAAACCATTTGAAATGTTTCTGCAAACTCTCTAATGCCAATGCAACTAAGTCTGCCTCAGTAGGAATGAGTAATGTATGCCCTCTAATACTTCTAAGTAGACCCTCCTTGTAGATCAAGACAACTTTGACAGTTCAGCATAGAAATACAAGAATTTTTTTGTTTTAAGCTTTTTTTGGTAGGCTATAGATAGCTGTTATTCTTCATAGAAATTATATATTAAATCCATATCTGTTGTATCATTTATTAAGTCCATCCTGTAAGAGGTTCAGAAATAACCTCTCATTCACAAATATGTATAACTATTAGTAGGACACAAAAGATCCACGTTAATCCAGGTTTGGCTAAGCACCCAGGAGCCTAAGGCAGGAGAATACTGAGTTTAAGGTCAGCTTGTTAGCTAGACAGTGTCTTAAGAAAAAAAAAAACTAAAGACATGTTCACTACCAGTATGGATATT